GTTTATTTATACACGGCAAAAACATCAGGCAAAAATACAATATCCCTCCGTCTTTTTTTTCTTCTTTGTTTGTCATCCTACCCACAATTCTCTCTTAAACACAAGTGACAGTTACATGAAATCAGTGCGCGCCAAAAGCTAGCTTCGGTGCCGTTTAGCAGTTTACATCTCGTTATTGGCCACCTTGAGAAAAGTTTCCCGGAGAGCATCTTGTAAAGCTCTGAGATGGGACAAAGCTATTACGATTCGCAGAGACTGCATCGTCTAATATTGTATTGTATTCTAGTTTCATTTTGCTAAACGGATCAATCACCCAGATCCGGGCTGAGACAGAAAGGCACGATATGGTTCGCTTTTCTAAGGTGATAACTAAGTCTTTGGTCTCGGGAACAGGCTCTTCGGAGTCAAATGAATTCGGCCAAGATTTAGTTTTTTCTGGTGTGAAATCAGGGTCTACGCTGGTCTGCCGACCTTCGACTCTACATCCGGGAACTTGAATAAGACGAGTGTAAGAGAAAAGTCCAGAGGTGTGTATCTGCCTATAAGCTGAGTTTTTCCGAGAGTTATTCGATGATCTTTGGCATGTGTTAAACGTCAGCGGATTATGCGTGGCTGTGGATAATCTTATCAGTACTGCGAAAGTGTGTGATTGTGTGATTTCCGCATGGTGTTGACAGGTATGTGGTCGTGTGGTTGAGCTGTTTCGCTAACATATTTTTTTACCAGCCATAAAAGCGTCTCTTCGGTGTTTAGGTTAGCTGATTGTACCTTGGAAAAGTAACTCTCGACTCAGGAAAATTGGATCTACAATTGTAGGTCTAGTTTCAGCGGGCTCTAATGGCTTTGAGCCAAACGGCCGGTTTTTGCAGATACGAAGGTGATAATTTGTGTAGTATGCTTCATTCAGTTTGTTGTCTATTACATACGAAACCCTGTCATGTATCGGACCGCGAAAAAAGTAGTGTTTTGCTAACTATTTAAGTTGTTATGTAAGCCTTAACCAGGCACATTTTCGCTGCAGTTCACTCAACTTTAAAAGTTCTAGACTTAAGGTGGCTCGATATAGTTTTTCAAGGTCAATACCTCCCAAGTTTGAGCGTACACTACGTCGCCATAAACAAAGATTTGGAAAAATTAACACCACAGTTGTATTAGATAAAGATGAAAATTTGTTATGATCGGGGTTGCAATGACATCGGAGTTGTTATAGCAACGAAATGACGCCATTACCTATTTTACTTGCAGCAGTATTTCTCGGCACTGGGAACTGTTCTTCCAAAATTGTTTACTGGACCTTTTTCCTACAATAGCCGCCTCGTTGTTCGTGAAGTTTAAGCGAAATCTGTAAGAGCGTTATGGAGAAGAAGTTTTTATGGTTAGAAATACGGTAAAAAATGGACAATCGTGATGTTCGACTGTTATCTGTACTAAACGAAGCGCTTTTCACATGCAATTTCACCTCATAGTAGTTTCAATCTTTTTGAAAACGTGTGTAAAAGATCATGGAGATACCTCCAGCCGATTGCTAGAAAGAAGGATTTGATTAGTATGTATCAAGGCGCTCTTTTTAGCAGCAATGTAAACATTTCGGTCTACTTTAACAAATTAGCGAATAATTTTTAAACCGCTCGATAAATTTTTTAGAAAATTTAAGAATCTTGAGATTAACCGTCCTTTTATATGACTTCTTAATTTCAAGATTATTGATATATTGTAAGGCCGTAAAATAAGGGCTTGAATTCGCTAATATTTTGTCAAGAGTTTTGTGTTTACAAGTGATAGCCTCTCATTATTCAGGGGTATTGTCTCCAAAATTCTTATTTTTGTGCACAACAATAGCTAGCATTTTTGCATATGTCAAATGCATTGTCAGACACTGCTGTTCACGTGGAAATGAAACCTTGAGACAATACCCTGAATAATCAGAGACTCTCTCTTGTGAAGGCAAAATTTCTGACAAAATATTAGTGAATTGTATTATTATTATTATTAGTGATTAGATTTCGGTTTCAAAATCCATGGAGACTTCTGAGACTTGACCAAATAGGCACCTTTTCAATTCGGGTGCACGCGCTGCATCTGCTTAAAAACGACGAAAGGAACCCAGTAACAAATTAAAGTAGCGAATCCGGAAAAGTATGTAGTCTTATTGTGTGATAGATGAGTGAGGTGCATCAGTCAATGGACCCAAACACCCGACAAAGTAATTCATAAGCAAAAAAAGACTCTTAAGCTTACAACATAACCAAACCTTTTATCAAGAAAGTTTAAACTGAAAAAATCCTGGCTACGCCCCTAGAGGTAGCAAAGCGTTCCCTTTAGGAGTGCCGATTTTGGTGAAAATGGCACATTCTGCAAAAATGGCTAATATTCGCCAAATTCTTTACAAATGTGGAGCATGTTCAAATCGGAGACTTAAGAGAATTGAGAGTTAGATAGAAACCGAGACACTTTCGCGCTATAGTGTAAGTGTATGTAATTTTAGTTTTTCATCTATTTACATTTTTTATTTTCGTGGTCCTTCTAGAAGATTTAGACCTGCTTTTTTTCGTGAGTCAGGTCCTGAATTTTTGCAACCTGTGGTTTACATTTAGACTGTATTTAAACTTAGTAAGCGAACTAGTCAAAGCAAAAAGTGAAGTTCAATTTCCTTGCACAACCGTCCAGTTTCTATTTCCTTGAGAAAGCTTGTAATATTGGAATAGCATATTTTTCTTATCAATTTAAAAGCCCAGTCAGCAGCCTACAGAACAGGAATTATTTTATTATTTTTATAGTTTTGTAGAAACTATCCATTAACATATGATCATTGCTGGTGGCAAGGAGAAAATTCTGTGATAAAGTTTCTAGTTAATTATACAAGCACCCTTTAAAAGGTTTAACTATTAAAAAATTTATTCTTTACATTCTTTCAGCGATTTTTCATTCATATTCTTGTTTCCTTAGAAAAAGCAGTATCCTTATGGATATTTTTTTTTTTTGTTTTTTGTTTTTTTTTCCTTATGGATATTTTAAAGCGGTTGTCAAAGCTGATCCTTCTGCTCTTTTTATGCAAAAAATTTCTGAACGGTTATATCCCCTTACCGATATACCATGAATAGGATTAGTCACCGTGTGCAAAGGTGAACGGTTTCTTGCTCTTTTAACGTGAATACAAAATAAATTTTAGGTCCAGGGGCCCGTTTCTCGAAAGTTCCGATGATTAACGGGCCCGTAAAGCTGTTGTTGTTTACATGCAAGGTAGAGGTTTCAATAGTTTTGCATCTAACATGATAAAACTAACAGTTAATGAAACAGAATGGAGTAGTTTGCTAGCCATAACCCGCGCTCTTATTCTTTATATTCTGATTTGAAAATTTGATTTCGGGCTCGAAACGTTACCGGGGCTTTCGAGAAATGGGCCCTAGAGCCTAAATGTCCAGCTCCTTTTAAATACTGACTGTTAACTTGAAACAATAAACTTTACAACACAAATCTTGACTTCGCTTCCATACGTACTAAACTTTGATATAAGAGTACGAACCGACCTAGGTAAATAACATAATTATTTGATCTTTTCCTGAAATGTTCTCACTAAATATTAGCTCCAATCGTTTGAATACTGCGCTGGAAGTGAACTCTGTTTTAAACAACTGTTTAGGAGTTTGTCTATTCGTTTAATAAGCAGATTGGAGTAGGGACTACGTTCCTTTTTAATGTGCAGAGAGGGTACGACAAAAAATTATTTTTTTTCCCCTTAATTGGTTAGGTATACAGATATTTAACAATTATTCAACGAGCCCGAATGGGCTCTGAGTCAATAGCCCACGAGGCCGAAGGCCGAATGAGCTATTGACTCAGAGGTCATGAGGGCGAGAGGAATAACTGTTTTAGTAAAATCCAATTAGCTGGTCAAAAATATCGAGACAAAACAACTTTAGCTGGTTAAAGCTAGACTTTAATCCTTTTTTGCCGCCAAAAAGCCGCCTCTTTTCGCTACAAAGTGGGCTATAAAATATAGCCTTGTAGTAGCTCAACCAATCAGAACGCAGCATTGATAATACAATGTAGCCCACTAGTTCGATGTTACTTATTTAAAGCGAGGACCAACCACTAGTCCAGTGATTCAAGTAGAAACCTTTTCCTGATCTTTGTGAAACTTAGCAAGCAGTTTGCTCTTCACAATTAGTGAATTTACGCCACAGGCCGCGGTTGTTCAAAATAAATCACTATCCAGTGGATAACACAATTGGCTTTTGTACTACTTATCCGCTGGATAGTGTCGGGAAAGAAATAGGTGATACTTAACTTGATTATTTTGTGATTAAATATTAATTAGAAATTGACATTTGTAGCGCAAAGAAGTTAGATTTCGTGACATTAGATTTCACAATAATGTAGACAAAGTCCGAGTATATTTACGATATAAAATGATGTGACTGCATGCATTTTCTTACGCTAAATAAGGTGAAAGAACGTGCGATTTTGTAATAGACGCTTAATTTAGATACATTACAATGGGAACTTTTACTGTACATGATATTAATGTAAAAATACTGCCTTACGCAAGGATAGTAGAAAAACCACTGTATACTTAGAATGTTTTAGTTGATAGTTGATCGTTCAAAGTTGATCGATTCGTTGATCGTTGATCGTTGCCGGTTACGAACGTTCCGTATGTGAGAGTTGTACATCGCAGTAGATGGTTGGATTGCATTAAATCGTGTTGTTACATCGAAAGATACAGTCCTCTTGATTTGTTTGAACCAGCGGAGCGGGGTTAAAAGAATTCCGCAACAGATAGCGATTTATCCGGTGGATAGCGCTATCCAATTTTTGAACAACCGGGACCCGCCAGGACGAGGGCAGAACGTTTGTGCGTGACCGGAAATGTGTCAGGACTATTACCTTTGTGTTTTGTCGTGATCTTCATTTAACATCAATGTTTTCTAGTCTTTTACAAAAAGATCTGTTAAAAGTAAGGTGACGTTTGGTAGAACGTTTACAGGTATAATTATTGTCCCGCTTGTCACACAAGGTTTGTCATCTTCTTTCCTTTCCCGTCCTGTTGGGTAAAGTTTATTACCGCAACCATTTGACGAACTGTTCCTTTATTAGGCAAAGTCACGTGACTTACGATCAAAATGTCGTCAAATGGTATTAAGAAAGCATGGCAACTTGGTATGCATAAAGCTGAGACTAGAAGTGGGTGCGTTCGACGTAAGAACGCAGCGAAAACTGCAGGGGAAGGGACTTGTTTTCCACGATTTTTTAACGGTCTTGTTCGCTTTTGAATGCGCTTTCCCTTTCCAACACAGTTACGCGTTCCGACATGATCAACTATACCATGTATTTAATGTTTCTATCTTGAAGGTAAATATACAAAGTCTGCCAAAGATTCTAAAAATACATTTTGTTCATTCATAAATCTTTTACTCACAAGTTATTTTCTAAAAGGCCATCATCCTTTAAATCTTAACGCCAACTGGAGGCCCCTTGTATTTTTTTAATTTATTTTAGACAACTGTCCTCCCAGCAGTGTGTATCAGCCCTGTTCTTTTTAGCTTCATGAAGATCATGTACTGCGGCACGTAACTTTTTTTTTCAGAAACATATGCATATTCACTATGACGGTTGCGTTTGCGTAGTTTGTAGGATGTGTAATACTCCCCAAGTAATTCGCAATCCCAAAGCTCCTCTTGTTTTTGCGCATGCCTCGGGTCGAAAGTGTATCCAACGACCGCCATACGTTTTGTCATAAACGAGCAGCATTTTCAGTAAGTGAGAAGAACAGCGTCTGTTGTTTACCGAAGTCCACAAAAAGCTATTTCCACGCTGTTGACATATTACCACAACTTTTTCTTCATCCAGATTCGATCCAAGTTTTTGTTTCTTGTGCACGAAAATCAGGGCGAATTACGTCAAACAGAAACAGACAAAAAAACCTTGGTAGCTGCTGTAAAAATGTCCAACATTCAAAGATGATTCTTGAACAACTATGGCTGAGCTTTGATAATCACATCCAGCTTTCAAGAACACTGTTATATTCCTCAGGCAAAATAAAGGGTTGGTCAATGGTCCTGAAAAGAAAGGAAGACATACATCACAGACTTGAGGACCACAAGTTCATAAGTGTTTTTTTTTTTCACTAGAACATATCACCCTCGTTATATAAAGTTTGATTGATTGATCGATTGATTGGTTGGTTGATTGATTGAAACTAAACGTTACTTGACCTTCATAGTTATGCCACACTGGTACCTGCATGTATTCCGAGGTTCTTATTCAGTGAAAACAAGGTCAGAAAGGGAAGGCTTTTCTCTCGCGTCCTTTAGGATTAAGGAAAAACCTTGCCCGCTATCTAAATGTGTGATTCTCTTCCCATTTTCGGATGCAACCTTAAACCATAAAGACTAGAAATGGCTGTGCTTTTCAATCTTTCGTTTTCTGGCTCCGCGAAACGAAGAAAAGGAAGAGAAAAGATGTTGCTGTTAAGAAAAAAACTATACATCTTTGATCCCATAAGTTTTCAGTATTTTCTTGTAGATGTGTGGAAGTCATTTATTATGTTCAAAGGGCTTACACAAATCCTCTGGCACAGTCGACTGTTGTAATGATGTTAGGATTCCCTTACCTGATCATAATTTCCCCGCAATAAAGGCATTCAGATGCTATTAGGTCATCCAGTTCATTCTAAAAATAGATAACAAACTAAGTTTAGTCAGCGTTATATGTAACTGACCCATCTAATAAATGCTTAACACAGGTGTCTGTAAGATAAATTGACTACTCGAACTGCAGTCAACAAAAGACAACTCCGTAAACTCTGTTCTTTGGTCATTTATTTGCTGCCCATCACGCGGACGCCTCTGTCAGACACCCCCACCCATTGACCTTTCGAGGAAGAGAGCTTGGGTTGTTTGGTACCCGAGAGACTTGTTCTCGTTAGGTCATTGAGCCCTCGTCAAGATAAGGTGGTATTTCATCGATGATCATTTCGTGCAATAGCAATGTTCTAAATACCTAAATAAATGGAAACCTTAAACAGACAGGAAAACCCCATTAATTCGTTCCAAGTGTCTCAGTTTCAGGAGAAATGCCAGGAATAAGAAAAATAATAATTATAAACTTCAAAAAACCGGGTATGCATATAGGATTTATCTTACCTTGAGAGACTCTCTTGATGCTGGTGTAGCTGTGACGGAGTCAGATCTTGGTGACCTGTACAGCTGATTAAACAGATCTTGAACCTTTGCTCTGCAAATTCAAGATGCATTTAAGATAAAATGGCGGTAAAATGACCAGCATAAAAGGACACATTTACTTGTCATTTTAATAAAGTCCAGCTCATGGAGCTAATGATTTCCCTGCTTCACAGACGGGGAAAAAAGAATTTCATTGAAATCTACGAGGAGGCCAGAGATACAGAATCAGTGAAATTTCAGATGCTGGTCTCACCACTGAGCTGACTACTGAGCTGCGAAGGCTGAGCTGGGCCATATAACCGATTCATAAGTGAGACACTTGTTAGAAAGGTGGATAGGACTATCCGCAGGATAAATAACCACCCACCACGTATTACGAAAAACCAATTACCAGTTATCTCAACTGGTACTCAAGAGCTCTGGACCAGTATCGCAGAGGCATTCGAATTCCGTACAAGCCTGAATTTTTTTCAGGCTTTGTTTTCGCAACTGCAAAAGTTGCTTCCATAACTGCGATGATCTACTATTTCATATAATTCTTCAACCCACAGTTCACATATATGATTTTCATATATTCATAACTTCATCACCAACCTTTCACGGGTTTATAACGAACCAATTCAACGACAACTAGGACCAGAAAGGTAGAGAGCAGCATTGTGAAAAAACGATAACAGAAAAATTTATACCTTTGTTTCTCTTTAAGATTGGGTAAAATCTGAAAAATAATAAAAAAAATTACGAACACAATTTTTTGAAAAATAAATTGTAAATATAAACTTTTAAAAATAATCATAAAAATAATCTTAACAGTCGCACCTCATTTTTTAGACAATCGCAGTGGAAAGCATGGTGACATGGGAAGACATAGAAGCCTCTTGTGAGAAGAGGATATGAGCAGATGGAACATTTTTCTTGAGCAGGAACTATACTGTATCTGAAATAAAAAGCCAAAGAGAAAAGAAGAGTTGAAGATACAGCTCTCCAATACTCTTGATAGCGTAACTGGTAGAAAAAGTTCTATAAACGGCCAATAATATGTGAACCCCCCTTGGGGTACTCCCTATAATGGCCTATACAGGAAGGTACCGCCCGAAGGGGGTAGCTTTTTCAGGCTTCGGGTATATGAAAGGGTAGGGATATCGCTAGTTAAAGTATATAAAAGGACAGGGAAATCTGTCATTGCGGTCTGTGAGGGGACTTAAAAGGGCTAACAGACTCATTTTACGGCATTGTGAAAAAGGCAAGAAAACTTCCTCCTTCAGTTATTTACAGCAGCTAAAATGGATCCCAGGGGGGTAACATTTGTCAATAGAAGGTATACGAAAGGGGTACCTTTTTTGTAAAAAAAAAAAAAGGTATATGAAAGGGTAAGGGGTTTTACCCCCGTTTAAAACTTTGTTGAGACCCCCGCTCGGGATGTTGAAACTCAGCTGAAACGAAATAAGATAAGATAAGCGACTTTATTTAACGAGGGTTACACGTGACAGCAATTGACCACTCCAGAAAATACCATAACATACCATAATGCTCTTTGTTTGTTACCCCAAAATTTTGCATAAGCATTATCTTCAGTTTCTCCTGGGGCCATTTTAACTCCCAAGAGTACGGTATTTTCTGGAGTGGTCAATTAAAATTACCGGTAAACTTGTGACCCTTTTAAAATCTAAAAACATGCAAGTATATTTCACACGTTTACACCTACCTTATTATCAAGAAATAATCATTGCACTAACTAAGTTTTTACAACAAAAAGAAAAATCAGTCGGTTTTAATTGAACTCACTTGTTTCTCATTTCGTGGATGCCAGCTCTTATTGTTCTCGCACTTTCTGTTGCTTCCTAGAAAAAGAAATTGAAAGTTTCTTTTCACAAATTATCCACATTGTTATAAATAGCGACATTTTATTATAAGCACTACAAAAATGTCGCTTGTCACCAACAAATTCCCTTTCTTTTTCTCTTCTTTTTTTCATTATTCAGCAATTGTTACTTGTATAGCAAGAAACATTCAGCCTAACTTCAACTAAAATTGATTGTGCATAACTAAATAAGGTATTTAAACGTTGAAATTATCTGACTTGGATGGCTGCAACTTTAACGAGTTGAAAAGAGGAGGTGCTGTTTAGAAAAAGCTAGAAAAGGTGGACTAACAGTGCACCAAAGGTTGTCAAAACATACAATAATTTACTAGCCTGCGAGCAAGCTCTCCACTTGGGGGATATCGTGAAAAGTACACGCGCGAGAGGAGACGCGACTGCGAGGGGCGGGGGGCGCGTTCTCGCGCGGCTAGTTTCGCTCGCCCAAATAGGAGAGCTTGCACAAATGCTAATAATTTACCTGCATTTCGCTTTTAAGCTCTTCAATGTGTTGGTTATATTCATGAAGGGATGAGCAAATAGCATCCTGAAGAGGGAAATATAGTACCATATGTTAGCAACAAAGTACACTTTGACAAAACATTGTTAATAACAGCAGGCAGGCAAGGTTGCAACATTCTCACCATCTTCAAGTTTGTGCAAGCAGAATGAAGCCAGTTAATAACATATTAACTCCGAAAATGAAATAGTCAAGATCAAAACTAAAGACAAGCGAATTTTGAATAGCATAAAGTAAGAGGAAGGATGAAGAGACTTCTTTGTTCACCGATGTTAAAACTACACAGTAATAGAAAAGAAAGGTTTACAACACGTTCAGCAAACATTGCCGCCTACACAAATCTGGCGTGACCATTATTGCCAACGACCACTGTCCTTCCTTGCGTATAAATTCCCAACACAATAAACCATTTCACACCAAATATATGCGGCAAACGAATTGTACAACAAATTGCGACTGCTGAGAAGGTCTCAGTTGAATGACTTCAGCATAAGATTTTATCAACATACTCAAAAGTTCAAATTGAACTTTATGATTTCAGAGTTGACTATGTGAGTGAAAGGATTAAGATGAAAAGGGACATCTTTCTCAATGCTTGGCAGAGGGACGTGTTTACTGGCACACAGTTCTTACTTTCGAAGCAAAACTTGAGTGATTACAACAATGCCAAGGCAGCTAGTCTGACCTTAAAATGATCGATTGTGACAAAATCTTGGAAGAAAGGAAGAATATCTTCAATCTTCAGCAGTTCACATTGGTTCAGAAATTCCATGGCCCTGAAAAAAAAAATCAAAAGCATTAAGTTTATAGTTTACAACCGATTTATAGAGGAACAATTTTATCCTCGGTTTAAATTCTCATTTACTTCTAGCGGGTCCCCGAAAATGGTGACAAACCGACAAACCCTATTGGAAAGCAACCATCTCTCCAGGGAAACAGATTCTGAACCCAAATAAATTAAATACGAACCCAAATTGATCAGTACAATTTTCTTGGACAGATTTACACCATCATATTCTAACATTTGGGTTCGCTACATCTCAAGGTTGATCAGGGATCATTTCGGAGGCGATGTACAGAAACGTCCCGCATGCCATGCACACTCACTATCTCGATTTAGTTTCCTTTCAACAACTACTATCATATAGTTCTCTGTTCATGTGAAATGTTTTCTTTTAACACTTGACAAGGTTATTTTGCAGGAATACCTTAGAAAATTTGATCTCTCTAAGTTTTGCACTAGAAAGCATTTGACTATAGAGATAACTATAGCTATAAACTGTTTGAGTGGTGGGGCCAGTTGCAAAAAAACCTTAACTTCTAACCTTACACTTAAACGATGCATTTTAATGGCAGACGTTAGAAGTATTTACGTCTGACGTTACCCATTACTTAAGTGGCCTTATTGTTCATTCAAAATATTTCCCCGATTAGCACACGCATAATTCACCATAACAAGCTACTGATGACCAAATTTGAAAGAATTTTGCGTTAAATGAACCGATGACGTCAAAAGTGCAGCGGTCTTGCACGTTAATGCACTGTTAACCGAGAAGAACTGAGGACGAAGTTGAGTTGTTTTGGTTGTGAAAACAAAAATGGCTGACATTTCACTCGTTTCAAGAGTAAGAACTAGGCGAAACCATAGCTAAAACATGTCAAGAACAGCAAGAACACAACTCGAAGGGCGACATCTGCTATTTGAAGAATATTTGCGGAGCTGAACAACCCTAAACGTGCACTATCGAAGATGAACTTAACATCGATGGAGGTAAGCATGTTTTAGCTATGTTTTTAAATTAGGAATTATTTTGAATGAATACGAAACAATTATTGAATTCGACTTTCGTATCATATGAAGAATTAAGGAGAACTCGGAGGGTGGTAACATCCTCCTCGATCTCCATAATTCTTCATAAGATACTCAGCCTCATTCATTAATTGTTAATTATTTAGTAGGGACTTAGTTTGATCTTCAGCGTAAATGTATTCCTGGACAGGACTCTTGGTCACCAACATTTCGACAAGTTTGCAAAAGTCGCCATCATAATGAACTGAAGGTGACGTTTACATAGATGATTTAACGACAATAATTGACAACATGACGCCTTTCAGTAGCGCATGTCGTCAAATCGACAATCACCAAGAGTCCTTTTCAGAATACAACTCAAGGGGATGACCATGCTCGAATTTCTACCACGCTGTGTACATAAGACAAGTGAAGTTACTTCTTGACGTCTCTCTCTTCCTCCACCACATGTCTGGCTATTCTCAGCCACAGTTTCTTCCTCAACACTTCATCATCTTCTGGAGGCTTCTGCGCTTGGATTTTAGCAAGGTCTACATCCACCTTGAAATCAAAGAAACAATAAAAATATAACTCTGTTCATAGTGGCTACTACCGCTAAGGTAGAGAAGGATACATTAGGGAGCTCAAGTAACAAGGACAGCGACGGTTACGAAAACGTCACTTAAAAAGTGAATTTGCACTGCTTCAAACCGTATCACGCTTATTCCATCTCGTTCATTTCGTCAAATGTTGCCAATATGTTCTGGAGCTGAATTATAAAAGACTGTAAAGAAGTTCAGGAAAAGAAAAAGAAAGTCGTGGTCTTGTGTTCACGTCCTCAACAAACCCTGAAATTAGGCAGTTTCAAGTTCAAGTTNCCACCTTGAAATCAAAGAAACAATAAAAATATCACTCTGTTCATAGCGGCTACTACCGATAAGGTAGAGAAGGATACATTAGGGAGCTCAAGTAACAAGGACAGCGACGGTTACGAAAACGTCACTTAAAAAGTGAATTTGCACTGCTTCAAACTGTATCACGCTTATTCCATCTCGTTCAGTTCGTCAAATGTTGCCAATATGTTCTGGAGCTGAATTATAAAAGACTGTAAAGAAGTTCAGGAAAAGAAAAAGAAAGTCGTGGTCTTGTGTTCACGTCCTCAACAAACCCTGAAATTAGGCAGTTTCAAGTTCAAGTTTTGTATTGCCATTATATAAGTTATACAAGAAAAAAACTACAGTCTAAATATTTCTAAATAATAAAGGATAATGGCGAAGAAGCCCAAGGGAAACCACCGGGCTTACAAGGAACAGGCTTCCTCAAGTAATTATTACGACGAAATATAAACAGAAGGATGCATGCATGTTTCACGACGTAGTCGTTTAGTGAAGGCAAAGAAATGTACAAAAAAGCGGGATGCACGTGCAGAGGTGTTGGTTGTTTACCATTGAAGAGACGTTTTTGCAAAATCCGGTTGGAAAGTAAATGGAAAATGACTTTTTGAGTCATCCCAGTGGAAAATTTCCGAGAGCAACGGAAAATCTCAAAATGTAGTCCGGTTTTTTCGGACGGGATGTTCCAAACGGAAATTCGTGTTCCATTTCTTCAAAGCCAACTTTGATACCAGTTTCAGACTTTCGAGGCAGTTTTTCGGTAAATGGAACTGACTTTCTACAAATGGTAAACGCGATTCCAGGAGAAAAGTACCAGTCCTGAATTTTGATTACCATTTACCCAAACTGTGAACCGATCAGTTTGCCCATGTGAGTGGTAAACAAGCGTTGTTTTGCCAATCTGAACCTATTGCTATTTTGCTGTTCTCATTGACGTCGCCGAGCAGTCAAGCAGTCAAAAGCAGGAAAAGGTTTATTTCTTCTAGCTTTTTAGTGCAGACCACACAGCATGGCGATGAACCCGGACAGGTCTCGCCAGTTCTATTTGAGATGATCTCCTTACACATTCCCACAGCCCACAAAAGGCAGAAGTAGTGGTCACTGATAGTCTTGAGCTTGTTTAGTCCAACGGGAATTTCTATTGGGGCGGGGAAAAGTGACAGAAGTAAACACTCAAATGATTACAGAAGGAGATACCTTGAGAGACAGATCAACAGCTTCCTCAAACAGTCCCATTGTACTGTAGATATGTACACACGCTTTCTGCTTATTGTGCTCTGAACAAAGTCTGAGAGCGTACTTTAAGTCGTAACACACTTCTTCAGGATCCTGTCAAAAATAATCTATTCATTGTGATTCCAATCGCAAGAATACATGGATATTGTTTTATGATCGGATCGGCGGCTGTCCATGGAAATTTTGTTGAATATAGCTGGCTGCTCGTATTATAACTAAATTCTGGCTGTTGATTGGCCAGGCATTACTAAGATCACTTCAGACTTTCAATAAAAGAGGTTAATGATTGTTACATTGATTACAATTCTCATTTGCCAGTCTAACTAGGAATTCGACTGCCTCTATTAAAGACGTAAAATTGTGATGGAGATAATAGAGGGATTTAAGGTAAACAGCCAACGTCAATTTACACTGACACATGACTAAGTTGTCCTATACTTTATTTATTTCATTATTTATTCATCATTTTTTGTCTTTTACTGCTCACTGTATCTACCTAGAAAATTAATACTTCCACCCCATTTTCAGACATAAGAAGTACCTTGGATCTAACGTTTGCCTTTGCCCCGAACGAAATTCGTAATCTCGCTAATGACTTTATAGGGACCCCAAAATTGATTGTATAAACGAGAATAAGGAAACGACTGAACCTTTGTTCGGGCTAAGAAAAAAGTTGCCGTTAGAGTTCGGGTTGGTCGTGTGGGGGGATTTCATTAAACGTTGGCTTTGATCCACTGACGGACTCTTCTATCAATACTAACCTGGCCTTGCATTTGCAGGTATCGCAGTAATGACAGATCATCTTCTTGTTCAATGTACAGAGACAGCAGGTAGTTATGAATGGCTTGGTCCCTGTTCCCCAGCCTCTCTATGCAGATTTCTAAGTATCGAATTGCTTCCTCGGTCTACAATATAAACGCAAAGATCATTACTTCCTACAGAGATGAAAGTAATCTAATGGAAAGGTACACTGAAAACGCTATTCGGTAATAACAGCTCTATTCTATTCACCGACAACACGAAACTATACATGAAAATTAAAATTGTCTGGCATTCACACTGAACCAGCTTGCATGGAAATTTAATAGTCTGATTCCTTAAACTTAAGCAGTCACATTCTGGGTTAGATAAGAGAGTAAAAAAGCGCATGCCCTTCTTATTTGTGGGCAAGTGTTTGCTGGAGATTACTATCTCGGTGCAGTCATGCAAGCCTATCTACCTTCTTTTTCACCGACATTTACTTTATCTCGGCAAATGTTGGTGGTCTGTCGGACAATTTGCAATTAAAACAAGCTAGTCCAAAGGTTGCTCCACTAGCCGTGCGCTATCGAACAGCATTTTTGTCGCACCGTGCATTTTACAAGCCAGACAACACGGCAAAGATGTTTATGACAGAAAACGGACTAAAAGAAAAATTTGTATCTCGACTCAGTCAGCCGCCGCTTCCTAGTGATAACAACATGTGCCTTGCTAACCTGTGTTGATTTACCCTGTTGATGGTAGTGAACCAGAGCAGGAATAAGTCTGCGTGGATCTAGCTTCTTCTTCTGTTCAATCCATGCAGTTACTGTTTGACGTGGTATGTGCTGCATCAGTANCTTTGATCCACTGACGGACTCTTCTATCAATACTAACCTGGCCTTGCATTTGCAGGTATCGCAGTAATGACAGATCATCTTCTTGTTCAATGTACAGAGACAGCAGGTAGTTATGAATGGCTTGGTCCCTGTTCCCCAGCCTCTCTATGCAGATTTCTAAGTATCGAATTGCTTCCTCGGTCTACAATATAAACGCAAAGATCATTACTTCCTACAGAGATGAAAGTAATCTAATGGAAAGGTACACTGAAAACGCTATTCGGTAATAACAGCTCTATTCTATTCACCGACAACACGAAACTATACATGAAAATTAAAATTGTCTGGCATTCACACTGAACCAGCTTGCATGGAAATTTAATAGTCTGATTCCTTAAACTTAAGCAGTCACATTCTGGGTTAGATAAGAGAGTAAAAAAGCGCATGCCCTTCTTATTTGTGGGCAAGTGTTTGCTGGAGATTACTATCTCGGTGCAGTCATGCAAGCCTATCTACCTTCTTTTTCACCGACATTTACTTTATCTCGGCAAATGTTGGTGGTCTGTCGGACAATTTGCAATTAAAACAAGCTAGTCCAAAGGTTGCTCCACTAGCCGTGCGCTATCGAACAGCATTTTTGTCGCACCGTGCATTTTACAAGCCAGACAACACGGCAAAGATGTTTATGACAGAAAACGGACTAAAAGAAAAATTTGTATCTCGACTCAGTCAGCCGCCGCTTCCTAGTGATAACAACATGTGCCTTGCTAACCTGTGTTGATTTACCCTGTTGATGGTAGTGAACCAGAGCAGGAATAAGTCTGCGTGGATCTAGCTTCTTCTTCTGTTCAATCCATGCAGTTACTGTTTGACGTGGTATGTGCTGCATCAGTACTGGAGAGAACTTGTAATAAAGCTCTGTATCTGTCTGAAATGAACAGAATTTGGAACAAAAGAAGTATTAAAACTCTCTACAGTTGGACGCCTTTTCTCCTCCGCAGAGGTCTCTTTTTGTCATGGCTGGGGAGAGGGAAAAAAGAAAGCGCGCGGGGGACTTGATGAAACCCTGATAGATCCACCATGTTGTAAACATCCATGAGATTGTGACCTGCGTAGCTCCTGTCTTCGGGCTGATTTCCACTGACGCGTTGTTGGCTACGCAAGTTAACCCACGTACATTTTAATCACGTAAATAAAATAGAGGCACGATATAAGGTGTTGAGATTAAACGTGAAGTTGAGTGAGGTTCAACTTTTACGCTTACGAATGACCTTAAATGCTTAGCCTCTATTTCATTCGCGAACGTAAATTTTACGCACGTACGCGAGTAAAAGTTACGCGACACTTGAAATCATCCCTTCCACGGAAATCGGCGCCATCTTGAATACATTAAAATGGCAGAGGCTCATACATTTTTTTAAAAACTATTTTTTATTGGAATCGTATTGGGATTCTCTGAGAAAGAGAGAGCGTTGGACTGCTGAACTCTGTGTAGCTGGACAACCGGAACCGAGATCGGCTGGGGCTGAATACTTGCCTGCTTTGTGAGGACATCTAGTGCTGCTACAAAGTCATCATGCTGAATGTGATGGCTTATGACATGTTCAAAATCTGAAAAATGTTTTTTTAAACAGAATATGCTACTGTAGTTACATTGAATAAGATAAAAAAGGAAAAAAATCGACATATAGTGATGGTAGAGAGCGGCATCAATTTGGATATTAAGGGTTCACACCGGTAAGACTGAGAAAGTAAATTCGCTGAATTTAACTCACTGCTGTTCCTATTAAAGACTGCAAAGGCTGATTTCGGCCTTTCTATCACTGACACATTCGCTTGCGGCCCGTGTCACTTATGTCCAGGATTGCACTGTCGCAAAAATTTGCCCATGTGCCACTTTTTTGTTCTTATCTCTATTACTGCACCGGGCAACATGGAATCTATTTGTACCCCCGGGCTTATAAGGAACAGGCTTCCTCAAATAATTATTTCAACGAAATATAAACAGAAGGATGCATGCATATTTCACGTCGTAGTCGTTTAGTGACGGCAAAGAAATGTACAAAAAAGCGTGATGCGCACGTGCAGAGGTATTGGTTGTTTACCATTTACGAGCTGTTTTTGCAAAATACTGTTGGAAAGTAAATGGAAAACGAGTGATCCCAGCGGAAAATTTCCGAGAGCAACGGAAAATCTCAAAACGTAGTCCGGTTTTTTCCTGACGGGATTTTCCAAACGGGAATTCGTGTACCATTTCTTTAAAGCCAACTTTGTTACTAGTTTCAGGCTTTCGTGGCAGTTTTTCGGTAAATGGAACTGATTTTCTACAAATGGTAAACACGATTCCAGGAGGAAATGTACCAGTCCTGAATTTTGCTTACCATTTACCCAAACCGTGAACCGATCAGTTTGCCCATGTGAGTGGTAAACAACCGTTGTTTTGTCAATCTAAACCTATCACTATTTTTCTGTTCTCATTGACGTCGCCGAGCAGTCAAGCAGTCAAAAGTAGGAAAAGTTTTTTTCTTCTAGCTTTTTAGTGCAGACCACACAGCATGGCGATGAACCCGGACAGGTCTCGCCAGTGCTATTTGAGATGTTCTCCTTACACATTCCCACAGCCCACAAAAGCCAAAAGTAGTGGTCACTGATAATCTAGAGCTTGTTTAGGCTAACGGGAATTTCTATTGGGGCGGGGAAAGGTGACTGAAGTAAATATCAAATGATTACAGAAGGGGCTACCTTGAGAGACAGATCAACAGCTTCCTCAAACAGTCCCATGGTGCTGTAGATATGTACACAGGCTTTCTGCTTATTGTGCTCTGAACAGAGCCTGAGAGCGTACTTTAAGTCGTAACATACTTCTTCAGGATCCTGCCAAAAATAATATATTCATTGTGATTCCAATCCCAAGAATACATGGATATTGTTTTATGATCGGCGGCTGTCCATGGAAATTTTGTCGAATATAGCTGGCTGCTCGTATTATAATTCTGACTGTTAATTGGCCAGGTATTACTAAGAACACTTCAGACTTTCAATAAAAGAGGTTAACGATTGTTACATTGATTACCTTTCTCATTTGCCAGTCTAACCAGGAATTCGACTGGCCCTATAGTATTAAAGACGTAAAATTGTGAGGGATATAATAGAGGGATTTAAGGTAAACGGCCAACGTCAATTTACACTGACACATGACTAAGTTGTCCTATACTTTATTTATTTCATTATTTATTCATCATTTTTTGCCGTTTACTGCTCATTGTATCTACCTAGAAAATTACTGCTTCCACCTAATTTTCAAACATAAGAAGTACCTTGGACAGTTTTTACTTTTAAACTTGAATCTAACCTTCACCTTTGCCCCGAACGTGATTCTAAATCTCTCTAATGACCGCATAGGGACCCCAGAATTGATTGTATAAACCGGAATAAGGAAATGACTGAACCTTTGTTCGGGCTAAGAAAAAAGTTGCCGTTAGAGTTCGGGTTGGTCGTGTGGGGGGACTTCATTATACTTTGGCTTTGATCCACTGACGGACTCTTCCATCAATACTAACCTGGCCTTGCATCTGCAGGTATCGCAGTAATGACAGATCATCTTCTTGTTCAATGTACAGAGACAGCAGGTAGTTATGAATGGCTTGGTCCCTGTTCCCCAGCCTCTCTATACAGATTTCTAAGTATCGAATTGCTTCCTCGGTCTACAATATAAACGCAAAGATCGGCACTTCCTACAGAGATGAAAGTAATCTAGTGGAAAGGTACACTGAAACGCTATTCGGTAATAACAGCTCTATACTATTCACCGACAACACGAAACTATACATGAAAAATAAAATTGCCTGGAATTCACACTCAACCAGCTTGTATGAAAATTTAATAATCTGATTCCTTACACTTAAGCAATCACATTCAGAGTTAGATAAGAAAGTAAAAAAGCGCATGCCCTTCTTAGTTGTGGGCAAGTGTTTGCTGGAGATTACTATCTCGGTGCAGTCACGCAAGCCTATCTACCTTCTTTTTCACCGACATTTACTTTATCTCGGCAAATGTTGGTGGTCCGTCGGACAATTCATAATCAAAACAAGCTGAGTCCAAAGGTTGCTCCACTAGCCGTGCGCTCATCGAACAGCATTTTTGTCGCGCCGTGCATTTTACAAGCGAGACAACACGGCAAAGATGTTTATGACGGAAAACGGACTAAGAAAAATTTGTATCTCGACTCAGTCAGCCGGCGCTTCCTGGTGATAGCTAAATGTGTCTTGCTAACCTGTGTTGATTTACCCTGTTGATGGTAGTGAACCAGAGCAGGAATAAGTCTGCGTGGATCTAGCTTCTTCTTCTGTTCAATCCATGCAGTTACTGTTTGACGTGGTATGTGCTGCATCAGTACTGGAGAGAACTTGTAATAAAGCTCTGTATCTGTCTGAAATGCACAGAATTTGGAACAAAAGATGTATTACAACTCTTTACCGTTGGACGCCTTTTCTGCTTCGCAGAGGTCTCTTTCTGTCATGGCCGGGGACAGGGAAAAAAAGAAAGCGCGCGGGGGACTTGGTGAAATCCTGATAGATCCACCATGTTGTAAACATCCATGAGATTGTGACCTGCGTAGCTCCTGTCTTCGGGCTGATTTCCACTGACGCGTTGTTGGCTACGCAAGTTAACCCACGTAAATTTTAATCACGTAAATGAAATAGAGGCACGATATAAAGTGTTGAGATCAAACGTGAAGTTGAGCGAGGTTCAACTTTTACGCTTACGAGCGACCTTAAATACTTAGCTTCTATTTCATTTGCGAACGTAAATTTTACGCACGTACGCGAGTAAAAGTTACGCGACACTTGAAATCATCCCTTCCACGGAAATCGGCGCCATCTTGAATACATTAAAATGGCAGAGGCTCATACATTTTTTTAAAAACTATTTTTTATTGGAATCGTATTGGGATTCTCTGAGAAAGAGAGAGCGTTGGACTGCTGAACTCTGTGTAGCTGGACAACCGGAACCGAGATTGGCTGGGGCTGAATACTTGCCTGCTTTGTGAGGACATCTAGTGCTGCTACAAAGTCATCATGCTGAATGTGATGGCTTATGACATGTTCAAAATCTGAAAAATGTTTAACAGAATATGCTACTGTAGTTACATTGAATAAGATAAAAAAGGAAAAAAAATCGACATATAGTGATGGTAGAGAGCGGCATCAATTTTGATATTAAGGGTTCACACCGGTAAGACTGAGAAAGTAAATTCGCTGAATTTAACTCACTGCTGTTCCTATTAAAGATTGCAAAGGCTGATTTCGGCCTGTCTATCACTGACACATTCGCTTGCGGCCCGTGTCACTTATGTCCAGGATTGCACTGTCGCAAAAATTTGCCCATGTGCCACTTTTTTGTTCTTATCTCTATTACTGCACCGGGCAACATGGAATCTATTTGTTAAATAAACAACTGTCATGATGGAATTATAGTACAAACCTTGCATGAGCATAGCAAAAAATATTAAGTTTTCTACATCGCCATGGCTGGCAATCAATTCATAAGCTGTCTTTCTGTTCTGATCAAGACAAGTCTGCAATGATAAAAAAAAGACCTATTAGCAGTGTGATTCAGTAAAGAAAAATGTTCCAGGTAACATGTCACATATAAATTAAGGCCACATACAAAGTAGGGCAATAATCAAAAATAAGTATACAAAAGTCAGTTAATCCCCTTCAGTGCAACAATAATCACAAGATCATTTTCCCATTTTGCAGCCTGGCTTAGGATAGGAAAAGGGATCTTGCAACATCACCCGACTCGACAACTTTGCTAAGAATCTCTTCTAGTCTAATTCGGAACTGAAAAAATTAAGGAACTGCAAAGCCAAAAACAAATTGAAGTCAGGGATGTATATGGAATACAAAAACTTTGCAAAGACTGCCCATGCAAACTGTGGTGAATAATTTCAGGTTCCTTTGCGCCGTATACTCACCTTAACTTTGGTTTGTGCAAGGAATTTTCTAAACTCGTCTTCTAAGTCTTCATGCTTAGCAAGGGCACCTTCTTCTTTGAGTCCACCAAGGTCATTTAGGTAAAGCTCAATCAACCACATTATCAACATGGTCATCTGAGTCTTGTCCTTTATCGCAAAAATAATCATTAAACAGTTATATCAGTAAATACCAAAGGGTATAATGTTTCCTAGATTTTGAGAATGCAGAAGTATAAAAAGGTAAAAATGAAAATGTACAAAAATGTCATCAGCGTTGACATCAGGGTCAACGGCGGAAAACTGGACAAAGTTGGCAGTTTTAAGTATCTGGGAGCAGTCGCCACAGTGAAATCAGGGTTCCAAGCCTGAAGTACTGTCCAGAATTTGACGGACGACAACAGCACTAGCAAGACTAAAGATCATCTGGAACGATAAGCATCTCTCTCTTATCTCAAAGATCAGAGTCCCGAAAAGTTACCGGGACTTTCGAGAAACGGGCCCCTGGACACTAACATCGGACACTCAGAAGAAATTGCCAGCCCCTGAGGTATGATGCTTTAGAAAACTGCTTGGCATCTCATACAAAGACCAAATCACCAACGATGCAGTCAGGGACACAATCAGGCAAGCCATAGGGCCCTATGATGACATCTTATTAAACCACGGTAAAGAAACGCAAGGTGAAGTTGTTTGGGCATCTATCAAGATCAGAAGGGCTTGCCAAGACAATTTTAAAGTGCAAGGAGGGAGAGGACAAGGAAGACAAAAGAAGCGTTGGGAGAATAATCTCTGATTGGGAAGGGTTGAGGTTTTGCCACACATTAAGGGAATCTTAAAAAACGGTTGCTAGATTCCTGGCGTCTCAACAGTCATCATGACTTCGGAATAGGTATAGGTGTAGAAATTTTTTCGTTCACTAACTAATGGAGTAGACTTTGAGGAGTGAGGCTGTCTTATAGTGGTGAGGGGTGTGTATGTCCCTACACTAAGTTTCAAAACCCTTAATTTCACAAAATGAGCAGGAAGCCATGTCCCCGTCTGTATTTTGCGGTTGTATAATTTGCTTAATCATCGCTGTCGTTGTTTTACTCCGTCTTGGATTCACTTAACGCCATTTCATCTGTCTTATGCCACTGTTTCAAGGCCACGTCGCATATGGCAATTTTACCCTAACAGGGCCTTCGTAGTCCCTCAGCGGTACTGGAACGAGGAAGGGCGGAATACACGTGCGCGCGTGAAAATCACCACTCGCAAGGAACGTGACACGCGGAGGAAATAGTTCTCTCCACATGTCACCTTCTACGAGGGTGCATGTGTTTCGCTCGATCTTCTATCCGTGAGTAAAATGAGGGACTACTTGTAGTCAAATAAATAACAGAAGTTCTTACTTGGTTCTTGAGGCTATCCAGCTTTTTTAAAAGAAACATTCTCAGGGCCTGTCTTTCCTCCACTTGAATAAACTTTAATGCAACTTCCTCAAATGAAACCTGTGTCTGGGCATAGCACTTCGCCGCAGAGGAGTAGCTATAACAATGATTAAAACAGTCAAAAAATAGCAGTGAGTCAAACCTCAGAGAAATCGGTTAATCAACACATCCTTGATTTTAACAAATAAACCAATAAGTCAGTCGGTAAATCAATCTTTGTCCAAATTCACCAATCAAACATTTTGAGCAAGTCAATCAATGTAAGCCTTCAACCGCCTTAACACATACTTTACACGTAAGTGTTATAGGCCAAGCCCGAGGGTTAGGGTTATTAATACCTGAATATTAAGTCTTCTTTTGCGCTCCGAAAGCGCAAAAAAAGACCAAGGCGAATGTATTTAGCGATCTTGACCAAACAAGATTGATCGTTAAACGCTTTATTATGTCGCCACAACAGAATCTTTTCTTGTGGGACAATTTAAAGGAGGTAATCCGGAGCGTGCAAGATAAGTCCATCCTGCCCGCTCGGGTAGCCAATCAGAAGACAGTATTCGCTTCACTTTGTCCGCTTGAGGAACCACCCTTCTAATAAAAGCAGCTTCTATGCATAGACAAAATGGCACCTGTTATAGCTCAAAGTTACCTTTTGCCATCAAACAGTTCTTCAGCCTGCTTCGTTAACACTTTGTCCAAATTTGCAGGATTGTCCTGTTCATGATGCAAAAAAGAACAGCAATATCATTTTACATACTGTACAATAATTAGCAAATATTGGATGTGGTTGGGTATGATATGAAGAATAATGCAGATCAAGGAGGGTGTACATATACGGCCTTGGTGGATAACACCCTACGAGGTCTGCATAATTCTTCATATCATGTTTCATCATCGAAACTTATAATTGTTTTACTATTCATTTGAATAATTCAAACTTCAACAAAACATACTTAATTCCATCTATGTAAAGTTCCCGCCTTCATAACCGTTTGCCCGTTCCTCGGTAGTTTCAAGTTATAAGGAGATTTTTATAGCAGTTGACATATTTTTTCAATTTTAAGGCAGTAGTTCGTTTATTCAGTGTACTTCGCAAAACGTGTGAAATCGTATGCTTTTTCACCTACTCTACTAAAACAGCTGAGCTACTGCACCTTCTGCGGTCCATTTTTTGACAATATCAGTACAACTGACGTCCTTTCTACTGATATCTGCAAACACCTCCCAAATTAGGTCAACGATAGATGGTTATGGACAATTCACTAAGGGATTACTATTATTATTCATTGAAAATACTTAATTTCTCTGTTTCTGGTAGGCTTTTTGATTAAACGAAGAATCACGGACTTTTAACAGTCATCATTATTTATTTACAAAGGAACAAATAATGTTTCAATGATATGTTACAGGCTGGACTGACTAAGTGCAATTTGGTCAACAGACCTTCATGATATTTCATACCTTACAATATTCCTTTGCTAATTCAAACTCTCCTCTTTCAAGATACATTCTCCACACATCCCTGATAACAATAACATGTGTAATAATAATATACGATTCCACGACTTCAGTATTGGGAATAGGTATCGATTGGGTTCGATTGAAATTTGGTTCGATTTTGTTCGAATAGATTCGCCGGGCGGTATGGAATATTAGGACACAGACGTCTCCCTTCCAAAACGTCCCGACAGTAGTCACAGCAGGGGGGCAATGAGAGGCGACTGTATTCTTAGCCTGCGAAAACCTCCGTTTCTCCTCGCTCTTCGCCGCTGGGGACGTTTCGCGAGGAGGAACGTCTGCGACTCAGCGACAGAAATTCTATACTGATGACGTAAAATCTGTCCGGAATACGGGCAGAAGCGCTGATTGGTCGACGGAGTAGTTACATTGTTTTAGCTATTGTTTAAGAATGACAGTCTTGACAGACAAAAGACAAAAGGCCACAGAGGTCAACTGTAAATGTGAAGAATCTCTAACAAAATAATCAATATTTGTGGAATATAGTCTTCTCTAGAAGAAGTATTAGAGTTTTGCTGGAGCTCTGTGGCAGATGAACACAACACTTTACCAAAATCGACCAGAAAACACAAAAAATTGGACAAATTTATATTTGGAACCCCATGACTAACGGATTTATTATGTAAACATTGATTTGCGTCATCAGTATGGAATTTCTGCCGCTAAGTCGCAGACGTTCCTCCGCGCGAAACGTCCCCAGCTACGCAGAGCGAGGAGAAACGGGTGTTTTCGCAGGCTACTGTATTCTCAGACTAATTTGAGTTTTCAAGAAAGGGTTCATTTAGGCTGTTCACAGTCCACTATTTTCTCGTAAGATCGTCAGGATCAAGCGCTCACCGGTACGGTCGGCCATCTTGGTTTGATATGTATCGAGGGGACGGGCGTCGGGGTTTATAGGGGTTGGCGGAGGTAGGCGAGAAAATAGAAAAATAATTTTCTCGCTTCTTCCCAAACCGTCTACCGCCCCCCAAGTAGATTTGACATGCACCCAAGATGGCCGCCCGATCTCCAAAATCTTACGGAAATATAGGGTACTGTGAACAGTCTGGGGCCAAGTAATCTAGGTAACTGACCACCTACCCTCCCCTAAGTCACAATTTTGCCCTAAGTGAGAAGTACCGGTAAGTGTTAATGCTGACTTAGGGGAGGAGTAAGTAGTCAGTTAGATAAGGTCACTTACCATTGATTGCACCGTAATAATACAACACGAGTTAAGACAATATTCCTAGTGAATTTACAAACCTGCTTTCTCTGGTAACATGGTACTGAAAAATAGCTGAATCTGAAAATATCCAAACAGTTTTCTTTACAGAGTCAATGCAGAGGCCTCTCATAGCACCATACTACAAAGAAAAGATGCAAGTTACATATTGATCTACAAGAGCGAGTGAAATTATTTCCCCTTGATTTAGTTTTAGTATTTTTTCAAGATGCATGAACATGTAACATATTCTTGAATGATTTCTATGCTCAAAAGTGTTATAGACTTAAATGCCACAGGTCCTGAGTGAGACAATTAATTTAAAAATTGACGAGTTTGCCGAACATTCGTTAAGTGACTTGTTACAATACCCCATTCAGAAAAACTCTGATATGTAGGAATTTGCGAAGGCAGGTATAATCACTTTGTAAAATGTGCTTTTATGTTGCAAACTGTCTACTTTAGATACCAAATGACAGGGATCTATTATCTAACACCCTTACACACTTAAGAAGTTGGATTGGTTCATTGCTCTCTTCATTTATTATTTAAATAATTAAGGTGCTTGTGAAAATAAATAGTGATGAGCATTGAACAAAACAATTCTACCTCGTCTGAGTTTCTGGTGATATAACATTTGCACCTAATACAAGGAAAAATTTTATATCAAGGAATTTCATACAAACCCGAGGTGGAAGTTGATCTTCAAACACAGCTTGTTCACTAAGAAGCGACACTGCCTCAAATCTATAAAATTCAATTATGGTACAAAAAGATTAAAAATGAAATAGTGCCAAGATTCCTTTACTCTTTTACTCTTACAGCATGTTATGGAGAGTTTTATATACTTGTTACTCTAACTTTTAAATCTGTGGACAAAATTCTTTCTTTGGCCAGCAATAGGAAATGATAATACATGGCATCAGTCAAGTTTAACAAAATTGTTTTTCTTCATTATTCCTGCAACTGCACTGCCATCGTATGAACCAATAAAATGCATGCAAGTTCAAAGTCTCCAAGAGTTTATCTTAAAAGCAGTAGTATAAAAAATGTGTAAGAATTGAAGTCTTGATACTTTGTGTAATGTTTCAATCGCACATAGATATTAAGAACATAAAAGAAAAGCTCAGAATAACAATCCAAGCACCTGAGCAGGAACTCAGTAAGGCCATGACCTTCCAGTTACTACAGCTGTAAGCTATAGGCAGGGCTGTCACCAAGGGCTGGGGCTGGGGATTTCCCATGGCTTTCAGTGATTTGGTTACCTCCTCATCCTGCGTCCCTGATGCATAAAAATCCCCAAAGACGCAAAATAATTCATGGCATGTGTCCCGTAAAACGCAAAGATCGATGATCGATCTGAAGATGTTTTCGTGGACTATCCAGTTCATGTGATTTCTGTGGCTGTTATTGCAGATGTTTTTGAATGATGCATATTTATTTCAGTCTTTTTTGTGCTTCAAATAGAAGGACTATATTTTAATTTCAGTAAACTGTACCGCAGCGTTTTGGAGCCTGTCTTCAGACTAACTGCCTGGTTACATAAAGGCCCGAGCATTTTCAATTTAGGACTCATATATTAGGGCCATTTATACGAGGAAAAATAAGACGCGTCTTACATAAGACGCGTCTTACCGTATAAACGGCACATTTCGTCTAAAATAAGACGCGGCTTAGCTAAGACGCGTCTTATTAGATAAGACATGCTCGTATAAATGGTACATACAATTCGCGTCTTATTTAAGACGCGTCTTATTTTTCCTCGTATAAATGGCCCTATTGTCTTTTGAACTGGGACTCATGATTTTTCACAAGTTGAGTCCCGGGACTCAACATAACTATTTGTAACAAAATCACTGGGCGATTATGAGCATGACTCCCAGCAGTTTTTAGAAATTTTAGTGACAGCCCTCATATGTCTTTGAACAGGTCACATACCATGAGTGCATGGTTGCAATTACCTGTTTTTGTAGAGCATAAGAGCATGGAAACCAGTAAGGCCAACAGATAGTGGAGGGACAGCCTCCATTCCACCAGATAGTTTATATCTTGAAATTCAGTTATAAGAAAAAAACTTCTGTAAAACACTGTTGTAGGAGTTTGAACAACACTTGGCTTGTAAAGCTGAAAATGTTCAGATTGATTTTTTTTCAGCTTAAAGGTGTATTTTATACCAAGCCTACATAGTGGTCATTTCCATTTCCTTGAAAAAAACTGAATGAAACCAATTCTAGAGGCACTAGCCATATGTCTTCCAGACCACTCAGTAAGTATGATAGATTTACACTAAAATACAATGGTGAACAAGTTCTGCCCCAGCCCTTACACAAGGGAGATCTCTTAAGGCCTTTCGTTGAAAGAGCATTTTTGAACCTAATGAAATACATCATGAAGAGTCTATCTATATGAGTAAACAGCACTGTATTGCTAGGTGTTTTTCACAACATACTCAAGTCAAAACCAGAAATAAAAAACACAGGCATTCTGTCTGGATAATGAAACAGTTAAAGACTGTAGAAACCACTATACTCTAGCTAAAAATTAATATTCAAGAATTCTTGTGACTTGAAAGGATACTGAAGGAGTTTTGTTTCTGTTGTAATGTTATCAGATGAATCTTGAGGATTGAAATCTAAGTGTCCAAAGTATACTCCACTACCTATATGTTAAAATCAGAGGTAGAAGAAAAATACATAACTAATTTATACATGTAAATGGAAGGATAAACATTTTGTAGTTAAACATGAAAAATGGTTTAAAATGGCTTCTACGTTCAACGACATTGTCCATCCAAACTGATTATCGATGGAGAACTCCACACAATGAAAACTTTAAAGCTAAAATTTTGGATTAAGTTCAGAATTTTTTTATTAAATACCTGATAGAATCCTTCTTGATGTGCTCTGTCGTGTGTTTAGGTTTTCTAAAGCATCTTTTAATGCCCTGACCTCTTCATTCATGAATATCGTTTTAAAACTCTGCCACCATCTTGGCACTGACACTTACAGAACATTGCCGTGGCAATAATCAAGTGAAATTTCAAATTAGTATAGGTAATAGAATGATTTGTAGTGATATTTGGCACAAATACCACAAGTTATATTTCAAAATTTGAGACCATTTTGAAATATTACGAGTGGTATTTATGCCAAAATATATCACATACGAATCAGGCTATTACATGTATTGTTCATACTACTACCTGCAAAGGTTTTGTAATTTTCACAAGTAGGAATTTCAAATTAAGCTGAAATACCAATGCTCTAAGCCAATCAAATTGCAGAAATTTCTCATGTAGTAGTATAAACGCTGAAATTTTGGGCCAAACTCAAGGTGTAATTTGTCACCCATGATATTAGGGCACAAAAACCATGATATTCGCTTGGAATGTCAGAGAAATGAGAGGACTACTGATAACTGTTAATGTAGATACACATGACTGACCTGTGAGCCATGCAAATGTTCTTGGTAGACCTCTTACTTTAGGATAAAATAACACTAACTCGCTGGCTTCCAAATGACCAGGCATCTGAAGGAAGGGTGCTGTCAAAAAAAAGTTCAAACAAAGACTCCAATAAGGAAGAAAGGTAAGAAGGAAGGAAGGGATGGAGGAATGTAGGAAGTCTGAAGCCTTAAGGGGGGGGGGGGTTCTCCCTGTAAGAGCCTATTAAGGGAGGCTCAACCCTTTTTCAGGTACAGGTACATGTATATGAAAGGGTAGGGATTTCACTCATTGAAGTATATGACAGTGTAAGGAAATCTGCCATTTTGGTCTGTCAGTAAAATTAGGCCCAAATGGGATAATAGATGCATTTTTATGGCTGTGAAATTTCAAAGATACTGTGTTTACAGCTGTTGAAAGGGATGTGAAGTTCTAAATTAGCTACATGAAAAGAGCCTCTTTAGTCAATAGAAGGTATACAAAAGGGGTACCTTTTTCGTAAAAAAAATAGTATATAAAAGGGTAAGGGAAGGGACCTCTGGGTGGAGCCTCCCTGTATAAAGGTTTGTTGAGTTCCTCCCACCAGGGGTAGGAGGGAAGGAAGGAAGGAAGTCAGGGAGGAAGGGAGGGAAAGTCACGTACCTGGATTGTTTTCATACTCTGTGAACAATGGCTGAAAGTCCAGTGAATCTGTACCAGATGCATCACCAATAAACTGATACATGCGACTGAAGGAAGACAAGGAAGACATACTGACTATTATCAAAGAACTTTAGAAAAAATAGAAACAAAGAAGAGCCTAGGGCATAAGCGTTGAATTTAAAGTCATTTTTCCTTTGGTCCAAAAACTGCTAGGGGCAAGCAAATTAATACCCCCACCACGATTCTAGGAGAAAGCGGAGGGGGGTGTTGGACCCCAAGGATTAATGCTGCATTGTATATAGTACAAATATAGTAACAAGTAATTTTATGATCCACTTTAAAATAACAATTACATAGACAATAGTCCATTCTTAGGTAATCAAAAAAGACCACGGGTTGCTACAACTAGGTAACACTAACAATGCGTTATTTAACCCACGCCTGATGATATACGTACATTGTTGTCTATAGTAGTAACCTTTAAAGAAACTTTACACTTGTACCTGAGTGTAGAAACCATGATGAAATATTTTCTATCAGATTTTGGAGACACAGGGAATTTCTCAAACATTATGCCATAAATTGATTCCTCTGGGTCCCCACTTGAGTTAACATCATACAACTGCAAGTTAAAACATGGAACAACACACAGGTGGAACCATTCATCAGTCATTACCCAAACACATCATCATCATCATCATCATCCTCATCGTCATCATCAATTGTTATTTTATACACGAAATTGTATCACTTTTACATGGTCTTCCTGGAAATCGTGTGTAAAATTTAACTAAAATACCCTAAGGAACTACTTGACTATAAAGTTAAAAATACTATAGTTACAATGATTTATGGTGTATTAAAATAATATGTCTCTCCCACGAAATGAATTTTTTCCCAACCTTTGCCAGCTAAGCTCATCCAACAAAACATTTAAGCAAACCTCACAGTTAGAAAAGGTAAGAGTTCTGGCAGCCTTAATATTCTGTATCTTTTGAAGTTTGTTTGATATTACCCTATACGACACTACAGTAATTAAAATATGGGATTACCAGTGCATTGCAATATAGTATACATTCACTCTAGCTAGTATCAAAGGGTATTTATAGGACTTACACACTTTAAGATAGCAAGACCAGCAGATATTTTCTTTGAAATGGTATTAATGTGTGGGCACCAGTTCAGAGATTCATGACAATTTGAACTCCAAGAGATTTATGATTAAGTACTCTTTCTAACGGTATATTATTGACCTTGACTGTGCAGTCGTTATTTATTTGGGATAAATTAAATGGACTCCTTGAGCATGTATTTAGTTTTCTTAACATTCAAAGTTAATTTGTTTGCTTACAGGCATAACTGAATTAAATTCATATTGTAATTCATTTTATGTTAAAGAACATACAGGGACAGGGACTCACAGAGTTGGAAACCTAGTTTAGAAAAGATGACAAATAAATTATAATATTTTAAATTTGAGCTTACATGGTTAATGTCATTATAATATTTTAATAGTTGTTTTACATTATAACGACACTAAGAGAAAAATAAAAAATAAAAATAAAAGCAATTATTATACAAGTCATTATACTTCGTGACTTTACGAAGTGGAAAGAATTTATTGCTGAGAAATCCCACCTGTTTCCAAAATTTTTCCAGACCACCCTGAAAAAACTTTTCCTCTGGTTCTATCTCTGTCTGAAATATCAGGCCTGTGAAAAGTGTATTAACAAGCATGTATCTTGAGAATATTACAAGGTCAAATAATATTAATATTATAGTCAAGTAAGTCGTAAGGATCAATTAGTTTTGTTGTTTGTTTTGTTTTGTTTGTTTGTTATATACAAATGACCTTACACAGAAAAATATAACCCAGGGTTAGTGCGAGATATGAATTCAGATTTGAAAGCTTAAAAGGCATTTCAGTTTTAGTTCTTTTTGTCTACAAGTTGATGACTGGAAGCTCTAAAAATAGCACAGAAAATTATCCAAGAAAATGCTTTTGAACACAAGAAAAAGAAACCCAGGTTAAATCTAACCCCAGGTTAAGTGCTAATTGGCCTTCGAACAACTGGGCCCTGGAGGTTATATACTTCTGCCTTACATGTTGTTCAGGGTTTCCAAGACAACAGGCCTGTTTAGAGGCAACTAGCATAAGATACAGGAAGTAAGACAGTTGCATACAGCAAGAAAATTGTCAAATTTTGTGTACGCCTTTTGAAAAGAAAATTTATTATATAGTTAATTAAGATACTGCACCATTTAAAACATATGGGGCCTGTATGCCCAAGTGAGGTTGTTTTTATTAAAAATGTTGACGTAAGTTTCTATTATTTTGTTCTGTGTTATAAATTATTCATTAATTTTTAAATGAATTCAGAATCTAAAAGCGTCTATGCACTATTATCACCTCTGGAAAACAAAAATGGTACATGACTGTACTGAGGAGAGGGTTGAATCATGATTGCAATCTGATTTATAACAAACCTTTAGAAGTCCCAAGAAGGATTGTTTGGGTAGAACTCTCAGTTAATTTAGCCTTATTCCATGCAATGGCATTGATAAGATGTCCCTGTATTAATTAAAGGAAAAACAGATCGCATATTAGGCATCAGCAAACCCTGGATAGAATCATCCCCAGGAATTAGTCACTGAAATAATGACAAACAAAGGAAAATGGATGGGGTCAGACAATCTCTCCATTGAGATACACTGGCCCTTGAAAATTAGCCTTATGACACTAATTTTAACTCTTTCTCTTTCTATTGTCAAGTTTTTTTGTTGTTGGTCATAAGACCAACTACTGCAACAGTCCTATTAATTATTACCAACAAGTGTTTTGCTCACATTGTTTTGCACCCTGCCAGCAGAGTATTTCTTATGCTTGCATGATTTTGGCATACTCAACAAAGACTGCATGAATTGAGTAAGATCTTTGTTGAGCATGTACGCATGCATGCTGCTGGGGTATAGCTTCGAACAAAGGGTTAATAGCTTGCTACAGCAGGCTTTGTTATGAACATTGATTTGACAATAAACAGATGCTCATAACTGAAAAAAAAAGTTTGAGAAGAGACCAGTGTTCTCCCTAAATTTTAGCTCAGCAGGTAAGGGACCATTCATGGCTGGTAAGGCAAAAAATATGCACCAGAGGTGCACTTTCCTTGAGGGGAGGGAGTACTGCAGGGAGGGACATGGCCCACCCTCACTTGGAAATTATTTAGGAGCTAAGTTCTCTGAAACATCATTCCCTCACTGTTACGACCTACTTTACGCAAATTGGCCATTGTTATCTTAAAACAACAATGTAAAAAGTTTGATTCCAATAATTTTACTCTGTCTTCAATGTTCTCTTTCCAAAATGTGTGGCCCATAAAAAGAAAAGCTGTGCATACTTTAGTTCTTTTGCATAATAATTTTGTTCATTAATTTCCTTGTGAGAATTGGATCAGATCATAACTTGCGTATGTTTCAAAACAATTTATTTAACTTTAGTAAACCTTCAAGCGGTTGCAGGTGGTAAGAAGTGTTGCTTCAAACGGCTTGGAAACTAAAATTTGATAACATTTTGTTTTGAATAAGGGTATGGGCATGATTTTCAGTTGAACATGCCTAGCGAGCGTAAAAATCGCATCCAGTCTGAGGATTAATGAGAGAGGGAAAATTTTATATATTTAGGCATGACAAAATTCAAGGGAACATTGGTACTTAGAAATAACATCTCATAGGCATGGAAAAAATGGGTTCATGCCCTCGCAGCCCAAAATTGACCCAGCTAAACTTAGGTCCCAGATCTCTCGCCGGGTTAATAATTCATTCCCAGTTTTAGCTCCTCTGGTTTGGCATGCCGGGCATGCCGATGGTGAAGCCAGTTGGTTTGGCATGCCCGGCATGCCAGGCAAGAAATTGGCATGCCCAGCGAGACTGATTTTGATGTTCGCTTCAGCATCATATCCTGAGAATCACATATAATCGCCAAATATATCTTAGGGAGCTTGAAGTTACAGGTTTCATGCCTGGCAATAAATGCAGATTATAACAAAAAAAGTCATGTTTGTCACAATGTGTGTCACGGGATCGACTGGCAAAACTGAAGACAGAAGCCTGGATTTATAAATAAAAAGCACAACAAAACAACATTATTCATACATAAAATAGAATACTTAACTTGCAATCAAAGATTAATCCTTTTATTTCAAACCGATACTGACATTTCTGGGTCCACATTTAAATTTGATCGCGGAAAAGCGTCTTAAACAATAAGATAACAAATCTTCTCAGTATAAACTTATCCATGCTTAAGTTTTATCGTGTCGGAATGTTTCCCGGTCAACAGCATTAAAAGACTGGTGAAAATGAAGCTTACCAGGTCGTTCAAGTCAGTACGAGAGTACGACGTTAATACTGCAAAGACGTTCTGATTTGGTGAATTTGGACTGCCTTCTCAGAGAGATTTTGCTTAGTTTTTCAGTGCGCTCCTTGTCGGCTATGCGAATCTCGCAAACTGTTTTACTCCTTGCTGACGATAGTCCTTTGAGCAACGTCATCTGCGTCATCCGAAGATACCCCGAGCACGCACGAAATCGGCCGAATTTCCGCAGAAGTGTTTTCGCGGATGACGAGGAATCTAGTTTGTTGTAGCGTGGCAGTTGTGGCGTCACGATGTCGTCATGTCTCTTCGCACTTGTTTGTCTTTTTTTTCTGCGGTGCATGGTTGAGATGTTGGTGAATGCTGGACAAGAAATGGATTCTGCGAGAGACTGTAAGTACAAATTTAGTATTAATTTGGTAAAGAAAAAGCCTGAATATCGAACAAATCCCGTGAATTATCCTTTTGGCATTCAGTTTATCTTGCTGTTGAGCATGCCTAAGAACTCCGGCATAAGTGGTTGTCAACTTGTTCACTTCGGATTGTTTCTGTTTGTATGTCTTGTAATCTTCTTCTGCTGCTAAGAAGACTAGAGAAAACTTCAAAAATAAGAAACCAAAGCTAAAAAAAGTCAGTTCTAATTTTATAGCTCGAGTATAATTATTTTTGGCACCTACGGTCATATTTTTCCACTGTACTGGTAAAGTTACTTATTTTTGCTGCATAGTTTGACTGTTGTTTGAAAGACAATCAAACGGATATTACAATCACTTTTGGAGACAAAATAAAATATCCGTAAATCAAATGCCAAAATCAGATTTGGATTTCGCTTTAAAAAAATGAACATGCTGCGCGTGTCAATGCAAAGTTGTAAACAACTCAATATAAGCAGTCTGTGAATGTGCGTTTAGGTCCACAAAACTAATTTTTCTTTTGGACATCTCATCCAAGCAAAGACTTAAGGCTTACATTGCTTGTCTACGAGTGTACTACAAAATGCTTTGCTACAGTAAGCCTCTGAGAGGCGATTCTGGTAAATTTATAGGACGCTAAAATGCAAATAATTCTAAGCTTAAACAACCTGGCTGGGTCCGACTTTTGAATTACAAAATGTTCAGGTTTGCCGGCTCTACTTTAAATGAACATGGTTTTTGAAATGATTTTGTAATATTTTAACCCGAAAATTATGATTGGGTTATAAAGCTTTTAAAACGGACGAAAACTAAGCTAATAAACATGTTCAATGTAAAAAACTAAGATTTAGTCGCTTTTTCAACTTTGCTTTGTGGGCCGAAAAATTTACCTTTACGCAAAAACAAAAGCAAATAATGAGGCTTTTATTGGACATATTTTCTGAGAATTTTATCTGATCAATTTAATGTCACTAGCATTGTTTTCGTATAGGAATTTTCCTAATTAAATGAGCTTTTAATTTAATAATTTTGATACTCTATAAACTTCTCATTTGATAGCCTCACTTTTTTATACACCGATTGAGAAACAAATTCGCTCTCGTTAAATCCTATTTTATGACCTATTTATTAGAACTCTAGGTAACATACGAAATGATGTAACCGGACAGGCTTTAACCTTTGGTCCTAATTTATTTTTTCTTCGCAACCCCTAATCAGTTGACGGGCCGTGAAAGAATATCGCCACAAAAAGATGCGAAAAAGTTTTCGCTGAGTTTCCTTTACATATTCCGGCTTTATATGGGTCTACACCCCAATTGCCTGCTTAAAAATGAAACTGTTGTTCAATTAAGTGTCAGTCAAACTCGGTATAATCTTGACTTGCAAATCCAAATGCAAAGGTTTATTTCGCAGTAGAAAAGCGTGTAAACATCATCGAACAGCGCAATGTAAATTGGCTAATGTGAAACCACGTTTCTTTCACTTTATTTACCATGTATTTATCTCAATTGCACACTCTTGTGAAATTAGCCTCAGACAATTAGTTGCGACCTTTAACAGACTCAACAAGCCAGTATGAAAATATGTTAAGAGAAGCTGAGCTCTACATGTTCTATTTCTTTTTTTCATATTGCCCTTGCATGTGTTAACATTCCATTTCTTTTTTGTTACAGGTAACTTCCAGACATGACTAGGAGATAATTACTTTTCTAGAGAGCAATTCTTTGATACTGTCAGTTATTACTGACTTACTTTGAGTTAAAGACAAAGAACACAGACACTGGTAATGACATAAAAACATTAATCTCTGGCAAGCCTACAAAACAAGAAAGAGGAACTCAGACTCCTTATCAAAATGTGAAACAAGATAAAAACAGCTTTTCTAACGTAGGGAAAATTGCGTTAGAGAGATTTGTAATTGCAACGTTATATTCAAGCACATTGCATTGTCAAACATCATAATTTACTGAATAATGAACAGTGATTTTGGGGCTTGGCTCAGTTTGTAATGAACTTTGAAAGATATTCTATTACCTTGTATTTTTAAAAGCTTTCATGGAACATAGATGCATTTTATTATACAATGAAAATAGTCTCTGTCTCTCTTTTTACTGATTTCAGTCAATTCCATTTTATTCGCAATGTGAAGTGGGAATCCTATTAAAGACTCATTAAAAGGGGTGAGGAGTTTTTAGCATCCCCTAACAGGTCATCACCATGATGACGCTGTTTTATTACTTCGGCAGAATCCCTCAAAGTTTTACTTTCTTGTGAAAATTAGAGCTTTTGTTATTTAAACTTCGCTGGGACAACCAAATCTATGAAAATGAAAGGAATAGCAATGACGTCATCGTGTAACCGTACATCAAAAGATAAGCACTGTGATCTTTTTAGTTTTTTTTTTTTTAGCCACGCTTAAAATATCTGTAGATTCAAGGAATTATAACCTGTGCGTTGAGAGCATGCCAGAGACCGATTTTGGCATGCCCGGCATGACCCAGATTATGGCACGCCCGGCATTCCAGAGAATTTAGCATGCCGGGCATGTCAGAAAATTTGGCATGCCCGGCATGCCGGAGATTTTGCTGGGTATGAATTACTTATTACTAGAACCTAGGCTTCTCGCGGCCTGGGTGAGAAGGTCACAGAACCTCAAATTATGCTTACAGGGCATGCTAAATCCTGTTGCATGCCAATTTCAATGCAAAACCACTCTGGGGCCACCCCCTCTATTACCAGTGAGCAAATCATTGACCATAGGCATGGGAAAAATCCTTGCATGCTAACCAACATTGAAAATGTAACAGAAATGTACTCAATTGCTGAGTCATGCCCTAGGGGAGGCTTTAAAGTACAGAATTTCCTGACATGGATGAGGGAATTTTCCGTAAACAGCATGTGATCATGCCGTCTAGGACGTATTGCCTCCGTATTGCCCCTTATTACAGCTAGCTAGGCTCATTTTTAGGTTCCATGGCCTGAAATGACGAAAAATTCATGCCCTAAATGTAAAAAGTCTAAAAACGTCCTCGAAATTTTAGTTTCCAAGCCGTTTTCAGGCAGTAAATTTGACCAGATACCGCCTGATAAGGGGAACACTGGGGACAGTTTGATGCAATTTAGGCACAGCTTTCTTTCCTCCTTCTTGATCAAGAAGACAAAAGGAGGCTCTACTCGCAAGCTGGTTGTATTGCAAAATGTTTTAAGAGTTGATAAAACATGAACTTTTTATAACTATCAGGTGGTATAACTGATCCCATACCTTCATCTTTGCCAATGGTTTGGGTTTTTTGGAATTTCTCGCTAGATAGAAAGATTCTTGAGATTTCATACAGACAATGAGATGCCTTGCAGTGGGGTCCAAAAAGATGCGATGAATTGAATCATCCACTCTCTTGGTAATGTCAACACCTAGGAGGAGAGATGTAAACGACAAAGCTTTTTTTTGACTTGTAGCTCCTTTAGACCTGTTTTTTATTACACATATATGTACTATGACTGGTTCTGTGAAACAGCACCGCAATCCTTGTTCTGGTCCCTCACCTGTGTACCAGGATTTGAGTATGCGCCATGATTGGCCTGTTACAAAAGACATTGCCGTCGGCACTGCTTCACAGATGTTGCTAACTGAGGTTAAATTACATCTGCGACGCAGGTTATGTTCAAATTGGCCACTCAAGCAGGCAAGATTAGATGGTGATGGGCCCATCTTGTCTTACATACATAGATAGTTCATAGGTTCAAAAATTACTCACTACAGCTGTACACAGAACTGATCTAATTCAAATAATTATTCAGACGCAATACCAATAACACTGAATTACAAAGTTCCCCTTTAGAGTATGTTGCAAACCAATTCTACAACTGGCAAGGATCATACTTTCAGGGCTTCTGATACTTTAGTGTAGTCGCAGAGCTGCAAAATTCAGGTAGATCTGCGAAATCTTGCGAAATACACAAAACCACATGATACAGAAACAGGACCAAAAATTATATTCCACGACTTTCCAGGCCTAAAAAATGGAATTCTTAAATTTTATGACTTTCCAGGTTTTCCATAACCTGTATGAACCCTGACTGGGCATAAGGAGAGATACTGAAACAAACGGAGCACAGTTTCTTGTGTGAGGAAACAACAAGACACAGGGGCTTGAACCCACATCTGAAGTTTGAGGAGTTAACTGCTTGGTCCCTGCACCTCCAGTGCTCAAAATAATTTTATTTTTGGACGGTGGCCGGACACGATGACTGGCTAAAGAAATTTTTGCTGACAGGTCAAAATATTGGGAAAAAAGTTAACTAAACCTTGTGTAATTTTCTATTTGTGAATGTGATTGTATTTTTATAAAGAGGCAAGGATTCGGCTGTTTGTTCATGAATCAGAGTAAGTATGACCAGGCAACATGACTGACAAGTGAAGTTTTTAGCCGCTTAAGTTGCCATTCTGGCCAGACACTGCTCGTTGACCAGCCATTACTTTGAACTCTGAACTCTGCTGCTTATCAGAGCACAGACACTCATCAGAGGAAATAGAGTTATATCCAGTTAACCACATTCTCTCTGTATACTTACGATCTATTTCGCTTGGGTTGGACAAATCTAGCCTCATTAGCTCATTGTTGTTCAGAGCTATGGCTACTATGTTGTTACTCACTGCGACATCTACAATGTTACTTGGAGGCCTGTGTGTGTGAACAAAGAATATAAGTAATCATCCTTAATAATAACATTATGGCTCTAACCTCCAACATTGGTGTGATCTACCACCTGATTTAATTTCTTTCAAAGACATAAAGCATAAAATAAATGTTAATATACATGTATGCATGGTCAATTTCCGAAAACTTTGAATGGGGAGTGGATATATATTGGTGGGGCGCAGTCTACACGTGCATGGTATCAAAGTGTCTTCATAATAAATACTTAATTCTCAGTGCAAAATCAAATAAATAAGAGTGTTGAGTCGAAAATTTTATACATGAGCCCCTAGCTTGGGAGACTGGGCAACCACTCCCCACATCATCGACGAAAGATAAACTTCATTCATTCATTCATTCATTCATTCCTTCATTCTTTCATTCAAAATAGGGATCCCTGGTCCATGGACCACCTTTGTGGACCTAGTCTATGGACCATTTTTTCATGAATCCACTCAATGGACCACCCTTAATTTCTGAAGAAGAATTCAGAAGGTCAAAGGCCCTTTTATTGGGTTCAATCCCGACAAGTGACTTGGCCTTTAAACAGCAACAGAAGACTAGATAAACAAATGACATAAAGATGGGTTAAATACCGACAGGGACATAGCCTACCTTTAGAATACAAATAAAATAACAACTATGTTTGAAATTCAGCCTGGAGACATACATACCACCCCACCCACACCCCCTGTCCCTAATTTTAACTGGACAATAATACTGCAGTCACTTTATATCATTCTTTTGATTCAAAATTGCCTCAGTCTCTTAATGTATCAGACTGTATATGGCTGGTCAAAATACAACAAGAAAATTTTACATGAGGCCATTTCCGAGTTGCCCCTAGCCTTAGATTCAAGGCGAGGCTAATTGCGAATCCATTGATTTGTGAATTCCTCTCTATTCTCATGCAAATAATTTTCAGAAGCAAAGCTTTGCATTATTTTAGCCTAGTTTTGAAAGTAAGAGTTTTTGGAAACTCGGAAATGGCCTGTTAGTTGTAGGTTATCGGTTTACCTGAAGTTAATTTTTTGGCGCCGGAAAATGGGCACTTCGTCCTCGCCTCTTACGTCAACATATCCAGTTAAGATCTGTTTTATTTTTGAACAGTTTCACAGAAGAAAAGCTTATTGTTAAATTATTCTCCACAATATTAAAAGAACACCTACAATGCGAATTGCAAAATGAAAGTTATGGGACAGTTGCGATACATTGGGATAGCAAGCAGTAGTGTAGAAATAGAAAAATTGGGAAAGTGGTATTCCATGATTTAAAATAAGGAAGGAAGATACGAGTTACACTGACCGGTTCTGTTACATCTGGTCCAAGGAAAGGATTTAAATTTTCCCCCGCCGATGCTTGTAAGTACTGATCGAGGATGGACGCCATGTTGATGTAGAGCGCTTCTCGAATTCTTCTGGGAGGGGAGGGAGGGAAAATTTAGCCATTTCATTGAATTTCTTAAAACATTTTTTACTTTGGCTTCATCTTGAAAAAGTGCAGCACTAAGCTAATTCAATTGCTAGGATTCAAGTTCATAGTCTTATTGCAGTATTTAAAGCTAAATTTGTTGTTTGAGAAGTTATAAACGTACTTTCCTGGGTACCCTAGTAAGGTTATTACTTGCAGAGACGTGCATGGGCGCGAAACCGAGGCTCTCAAAGTAAACACTCGCTCGGCACAAGATGGCATCCTTCTACAGTGATTACTTTCCAAAAGATCTGTTGTCTAGCCTAAGCGCAGAGGTTCTATATATAATACTGTCGTATCTTCCAGCAAAGTCTTTGCTGAACGTAAGTGAATGCAATCGTCGACTGAGAGATTTATGTCAGAATTGTAATTCCCTCTGGAAACATCTTTGCAAGGTAAGCCCTTTTCCGGTTTCCTGTGAGTCAATGCTCGAGGAAGTTTCAGTGCCTTTCTTGCTTTCCCTCGATGTTCAACTCATTTTATTCCGTTCTTCTCAGAAAAATTAGTAAGCCCAGCACTTTATCTTTAAGTTCGCTTGATTGTAGACAGGGGGTACACTTTTTCTTTGCCAGTTTATGCAGCTGGCAGATGCCTGCTTTTGTTTGTGGTTCCATATGAAACATTCTTTTTCCTATAAAAAAATATATATGTTATTTATATCTGAAGATAGTTTTAAAAGTAATTCATGATATAGTACGAGATGAAAGATCAAAGATAATCCTTTCTTGATATGGTTTCCCACCTTTATTATGGCCAGCTCCTCGATCCGATGATGACCACTTATTTTATGGGTCGCATGATGTGGAATGTTACGATGTATAATAAATTTATGAGTGGCTCAAGGATTTGCTTAACCTATGCAGCAAGCCTTGTATATAGGGCACATGCCTTAAATGAATGTTAATATAGTGTTGAACTATAAGTGGTTTCCAGGGACAAGGAAAGGCTCCCTAGAAATACATGTAGGATGGGATGCCCATTGACATACCAGTATTTTAACAGAGCAAAGTTTGTGGATAATACGGCAGAGTTGCCATGTTACTGCCTTTTCTGTGAAGAGGGTGGGAGGAGGGACAGTGCTGAGTAGTTACAACCTTGAACTTCAGATCAGGAGGGTCACTTTCGAGCCTTGCCTTTGCATTGTGTCCTTAGACATTTTCACAGCCTAAATGGACAAACATTGTGCTTTTGATCTTCCCTACCTGCTCCCATTCTAAAAATGGCCCGTCCCAAAATGGCCCTCAACCTACTGCTGGGGTTAAACCTACGATGGAGTAGCATCCCATCCATGGAGGGAATTGAACTATTTTTATACAATACATAATTTAACATATGATACATTTTTGGTTCACATTTCTGTTTCTCAAGGTAATAATAACGTTTCTGTTTCTTAAGGTAATCGCTTATTAATATAATAAAGGTTCATTTTGAAAAATGTATTGGAAATAAATAGAAATGCCTATAGGACCTAAATAAATGGTGAATCACTTCACACCATGGCAACCAAATTAAAAAAGCTCCTGTCTGATGGCCCACTTGGCTTGTATGTGATGCTTTACCCTTTATGTGTTTCGACCTTTTAGGGGCATTTTGGATAATGAAGCCAAAACATGAAGTACACAATGTGTTACTCAACTGAACTGTAATTGATGTATCACCTAATATATAAATAGCCAGCGCCAGCTTATTTGATGTTTTTGAATATTTCATTCCTCTTAGAGATGCAAACAAACTTTAACCATAATTTAATTCCCAAAACCCAAGTACATGAATTTAAGGTACCTTTTAGAGGAAAGTCATGATCACTGCTGAAAAATTTTTAGAATAGGAGTAGGTAGGGAAGATCAGAAGCACAATGTTTGTCCATTTAGGCTGTGAAACCAGAAAACTTCCTTTACAATATTAAACTCATTTGCTGGTTTCCTGTACTTTATTTTGATGAACAAAATTACAGCATTTAATAAAATAATTTAGTTGACTAGGATAGTTTTTTAAACACACTTTCTTCATTTGAGTTCAAATGTTGAGAAAGCCATTATTCTTACCGAAGTCTTAAGCTTTCATTTCCTCCGAGTTCTACTTAATAGTCAGATTACAAGCTGTAATCCCTTAGTAGGCAAAACATATTAGGATTCCCTGAGATTGTGCTTCTCTGGCCTAACTTTGAGTAATTACGTTGTTTCAGAATGGAAACAATATTTTATTGCACCCTCTCTCTTTTCTCTGTAGACTCTTGTTTTCCTCCTTTCATTCATCCTAAAAGCCTACAGGTTTCATCTTTCACAGAGCCTGCACTCACTATTTTATAGCCTGGGACCAGGCTCTGCAGTGGGGCAAAGAGGCAAAAATATTGGCAAGCAAAGCAAGTTGAGCAGGAGTCTGGGGAGGGGAAAGGGCGCTGTTTCTCCCTTGCTAGTCCACCACTTGACAAGCTGTTTTACCTCGTTTTTGCCTCTTTCCCTCACTATGATTTCTGGTCTAAGGCAATATTTTAATGGTAATGACCTTCAATTGGTCAAAGGTACCTTCAATTTTAAATAATAATTTTAAAAAGTTTAGTATATATGTTGTAGTTAATTTCTTATCTCAGGTAATTTTTTTTTTCTTTTTTTTTTGGCATGGTAATGTATGCTAATGAAGTACAACATATATCTTTTTGTGATGAGTTTAGTAATCAAAAAATCCTTCAAATTCCTGTCTCTTCATACATTGTAACTAAAAAAGATATACATTGTACATAATGCATTTTGATGTAAATTTTTTTGTGAGTTTCCAAAAGTACAGATAAGCTGTTAATGAGTTCTTTTCCCTGAATATTTTTTTAGATTGATTTTGATGCTGATTTGACAGTCAAAGGTTCCTTCCCATCCTTCTATATTTTGTATCAGCTATTGTATAAATCACGTATCATACTTGAAGACACAGACTACAGTACCTTCAGTGGATACCTACCTGACTGGCTGTATTATTGGAGTGCTCTCAGTACTAAACCACCTCTCCCTGGATTTCGAAACTTGCCAGCTGGGAGAACAAAGAAAACATGGGGTAGGATTCGAGTTAAGATTTATATTATTTCTCTGCCTCTCAAATCTGATTTTGAAGCTCAAAATAATTTTATTGGCAAATGCTGTCCAGCCAAGTCAATAGAAACACTAAGAGGGCCATAGAAAGTATCAGTATTAAATAGGTCATGTTTAGCTTGTTGAGCTGCTTTCAATAGGTAGGAATACCATGAGAGATTTTGGAATGATTAGTGATTTGCAAGCTCTTTAAGTCTTCTCCCAACATCCCTAAGAATATTGACTTTTTATTTTTATTTTTTGTTTTTTAATGGTCTAATGCATTTATAAAAAAACCAAACAGGTATCTGAAATTAAAAGTATTATTTCAGTTAAAGTTATGACGGCCTTAAAATTCATGTACATGTATGATTAAGTTTTCTCTTGCATTTTCAGTGAGGGCTATAGCAGTGCACTCTTTGTTGTTGTATTATCCATATCCTAACTGATTTATTTTTTTTTTGTTATTTGTCTCAAGGTCTCACTGAAGAGGACTTGACTAATTATCAGCTACAGTCTAGTAAGTCCAGAGAAATCGTCAGGCTGGAACGATATTACAGCTGGACAGATGGACTAGAAGCAGCTTTGTGTAAACACCAAAGTAGGCAAAGATTCCATGAAGTAGCTCTCAAACGATGCATGCGAAGTCAGAAACAAATACACAAAACATTTCCAAAGGCATCTAGGAACCAACGGAAAAGGGCATTTAATAAATTCCAGAATGAACATCGAAGCCTGAAAAATATTCTTTCCAAGCAAAAGGAAGGGTCTGGCGAGTTTTTGAGTTATCAGAGTCCTCACAAAATTGGGCAGGATTATATTGAAGGTAGTAATACAACATTTATTTTCTATATTTAATACAGTGAAATCTCTTTAACCCTTTGATGACTGCTTTGGTCGTTTTCGTTCCATATGAATGAACGATGCATATTTTCTTTCCTGGACCCATTAAGCTTTCTGTTTAAGCTAATAAGTTGTGAAGCAACAACTTAAGCAAAGATAGATCCTTTGACTGATACATGTACCTCGTTTTCGATATTCTGACCAATCCTAACAGAGCTACACTCACAAAAAAGTAACATTTTGGAGAAAAATCCACTTCCAATTTTGGGTTTTCCTATTACTCTTTGAACATTAAGTTTGTCCCTTCCCTAAAAAGCTAACCAGCCCTCATTCGCAAAAAAACCTTTGTGCATGTGCGAAATATGCCCCTTTGGTTGCAAAACTCATTTTTTAGCCAATCATATGCTAATTTTCTAAAAACCAGTCCAAAGAAAAGGAATTGGTGAAAAATGCGTTTTTTCGCTACTCGCTGGCTATCACCAAAGATTAATGCAGACACCAGAGGCAAAAAGTTAGGTGTCATTTTTTTTCTTCTGAGCCGCCTTTGTCACTAACCATAAAAAAAAACAGACATCTTTCTCATAAATTACATGAACTTAAGTATCCTTGGGACAAAGAGAACTGTTTAAATAATGTGTACTTTGTAGGTGACCAGTCGATTCTTTATGTGCAACCACCTCCCATATTTTTAATATGGTTACTTAAAAAGTGACCACTTTATATTCAAAACACAGTAAGTCTCCAATTCAAAGTTTGAGTTGTAAGTTGGAACCGCTCGTGAACAACTCTAATATGCCTCTGTGAAGTGCCTAAAACAAATTTCTTTTGTCTGTGTTCATATAATTTTTATGATTCAATGGGTATTGATGATGTCTGTTTTCTTTCTTTTTGTAATAATACTGTTATCAAAAAATAGCCAAAATGGGATGGCTCTTGTATCAACATACTTTCATATTCTTTAGAGTTGGACAATGTTCTGATCAACTCCCTTGTCAAAGAAGCTCATATAAAAATAATTATTCATATATTTTCTAGGCTATCTTCACAAGAGTGGTATAAAACAACTGGAAAGTTACATCGAGTTTGCGACGCAGCTTGAACAGGGGCTCGACATAGCAGAGCTTACTAAAGACATCCCTGAATGTGTTCTTCTGGTTTATGAAAAACTTTCGCCAACGGCGCACCAGCGATTCATTCAAGCTGAGGAATTTCTAGATGTTGCGAAAGAATACTTAGAAAGAGTTAAACGTGTGTGGAGGTGGCAGAATGAAAATGGTACTGAAGTAAGGAAGACTTTCCGAGATTGTCCTGTAGTAAAAGCTCATCCATCCTATAGGTAATGTTTGACATGTTTATTATAGGTTTTTAGCAATATGGTAATTATTTTTTCTTTCTCTGACTCTGTTTTTGCAGATGACTAAGACCTTTCCACTGACAGTTTCGTTAAACGCTTGACCTTGATACTAGCTACGCGTGCTATAAAATTTGAGATAACTTTGGGCAAGGTTTGGTGACTTAAAGCAGGTGCTTTAAGACATTCAAAGCGTTCCGATTCTTTACATAAATCTTCTATCACGTTCAAGAAGATCTACCGGGTGGTTATTTGCCTCGCGTAACACAACTCTTTTACATTTGGAATTTTTTTTTGCTACTTGTTTCGCAGTTGTTCCGCGACACAATTCACAGTTGTAACTACCATGAAGTGAACCTGCATTTCAACATTTTAGTGCAGCAAAGCGTTGCACGATGCTAGGGTCCTCGTTCTCACGGATTTTCCATTTAAAACGGGAGGGGCGGCTTTATTTTAACTGCCTGCTGTCAGCGCAAAACCGGCCGGTTGCAAAAATTAGATTCTCAGCAATATTTACGTACTACACGTGACCCTCAACCCCCCCCCCCCTTTTTTTTAAGGGAGAAGCCTTGC